ACCTTTTGCTATTTAGCAGATGAGACATTGTATCAGTGTAACATCCCACCTTAGAAAGAGCTAAAAATAGAAAGAACTAATTTGGAAAGAGCCAATTTGAGATTTTTTCAAGTTATGCTTAAGTTGTGAGTTTTGGATAAACTTCAAATGACCATAACTTTCAGTACATGATGATTTAGGTGGACCATAAGATATCAAATGAAAGGTTTTGAAATCCTCTTTCAATGCCATCAAGTTTGCTAAGTTTTGAGTTCGAATGAGGGAGATATGACCAATTGAAATCTGCCTGTCCAGTTAAGGAAAGTTACCCGAATTTAAGAGGGGTATTTTGGTCTTTTTTTCTTACCCTTTCAGATTTAAGCGTTTTTAGTAAATATTTAGGGATCTAAACTGATTTGGTTCAGCTTTACCAATCCTAATTACGCTTAGGGTTTTAGAAAAGAGTTCAATAAGAGAAAAGAGGAGAAAAAAGGGAAGGTTCAAAGCGTTCTTCAAGTTTTCTTGCGAATCGAGGATTGTTTCACCAAGGGTTTGATCCCTAGGAGGTATGTGAGTTCTCATAGTGTTGGGTTCGTTCACCCACATGCCAATCATGCTATTTTAAATGCAAATTTCGTTTTTGAAGTTGAAGGATTTGTGTTCTTGAAGAGTTTCTTGAAATTTCATTTGTAGTCTTGATTGTTGGGGTTTTGATGAATTCTTGAGATAAGTGTTAGTAGTTTGAGGGTGTTTTTTACTATATTATCATATACTTACGTTGGGTATTCGAATTTGAGTGAGTGGAGAAGAAATCATTCGATCCTAGGTGAATTAGGGTCAGAAAACGAAAAAGAAAATTCATTAGGAAGTTTTGGGCAGGGGCTGGCGCACCACGCCAGGAAAAGGGTTCTGTAGTTTGGGTCCTGGGGCGCCGCACCACTTAGTGCGCCCCCAATCAACTTTCAGTAGTTCAGGGGCCGGTGCCCCGTGCCATTTAGTGCACCAGGGTCACCAGGTTCCCTACTCCTCCGTCCTTCTTTTCGTATGGGTTCCCTCGAATATTATCTATGTTTTCTACTAGATATCCACACTCTAAAATACATCTAAACATATAGAGATCATTCATAACTTGAATCATAACCTTGAATCCATAATTCAAATTCAAGGTAGAGTTAAGAGTTAAGTCTTGAGTCCGAGTCATTTTAAGAAGTCTTTTACAATCATTTTAAATTTGTTTTAAGACTTGAGTACTTGAGTTTGAGAAGGAGAGTTAAGTTTCATTTTTCAAAATGAATATATGGGAACTAGGTATTCCCAAGAATAAATGTTTTTACATTTAAGATGAGAGGTAACATCGATTTCCAAAAGAGTTCATGAGCAGTTTTGAGTACTACATCTTTAAAGAGAAATATTTTGAGGAATAATCTCAAACTAGAGAAAGAGTTGTGTTTTTAAACATATGAGCTAAGTTATATTTTGGGAGTAGTATTTAGCACCGATATGGGGACGAGTTCAGATAACTCAAATTCCTTATAAACCATGTAGCCAACGTGGGTAAAAAAAGGGTCATACTTTTTTAGATGATTCCTTATTGCTTTTAAGCATAAACTAGTGGATTTACTTAGTGAGTAGTCCTATACTCCTGTAAAGTATAGGACAGTTCTGACAGCATGAGCGAGAGATGTATCATCACATAGCTCATAGTGATAGTTGTCGGTTAGAGAATCTCCACACAGAGTTATTTTGTATTCTTATATACAAATAGAGTTACTTTGTATTTTTACATACAAACTGAGTTATATTGTATTTTCTAATACATTGAGTTGTTATCTACTGTTTTAATAGCTTTTCTTTATAATGCATATTTACTACTGATTTATATTAAACTGAGTTGAGTTGTTTTGAGTAAATCTTGAGGTTGAGTTGATATGAGGTAAGTTGTTTCTTCAATTCCAGTTCAAGCTTATGTCTTGTTTTAAATTTTCCTTTGCATGCTCGTACATTCCATGTATTGGCCATTTGGCCTGCATCTTTTATGATGTAGATACAGGAAATCAGGATCATAAACCGACACTCCGTTGATCCAGTCGTGTTCCATAGTTGTTTGATGAACCTCCTTGCTTCCGGAGGATCCCTTGTCTACTTCTAGTATTTTCAGTTTTGTTAGGATGATCGGGGCTCTTGTCCCGACATCCCTCATAATATTAGAGGCTTCATAGATAGATAGACAGTAGTAGTTCATGAGTCTTTTTCATTTCATGAGTTTAATGTTTAAGACTTGAGTTGCCTTTTTGGCTAGTTGAATGTTTTATTTTAAAAATATTCTGAGTTTACCTTTTGAGACAATTTGAGTAAAGTTTGCTTTTAAAGCTCTTTTATTATTGAGTAAGTCTTCCCCTGAGAGTTGAGCCAAGCCAAGGATTCACTTGGAGCCAGCAATGTAGGCTTGGGGCGGCCACGTCCAGGGTGTAGGCTCGGGGCATGAAAATCAGTTAAGCTGATGTTTGAGCTTTTCCAAGATTTCTCCCTAGCTTCTGGGCTAGTTGCAAATGTTGATAAGAGTTCCATTTATTTTGGAGGTGTGCCAACAATTGTACAAACATAAATCCTCCAAGAACTAGGCTTCTCACAAGGATGCCTACCTTTTAGCTACTTATGAGTCCCACAAAGTACTAAGAGGGTGTCTATTTTATTGTATCAACCATTGATTAATAAGATCATGAGTCAAATATAGAGATGGACTTTTCAGGTTTCTCTCTTATGTAGGAATGACTCAACTGATTAAGAGTGTATTGTTCTCTATTCAGGTGTTCTGGTCACAAGTGTTTATACTTTCCAAAAAGTTGTCAAATGTGTTGAAATATTATGCATGACCTTTTTATGGACCGGAGTAGTGTTTTAAAAGGCGGGGCGTTTTACTTAGTATAGGGCGAGACGTGGGGCGTAAGCCCTATGAATCTTTAAATTTTTAATTTACAATATAGTATAATAATATAATAATATGAAATTATAAAAATACATCAAAGTTTGAAATAACTACAAACATGATTAATGAAACTCATAGAAAATAAAACTTCTAACATGATTATACAAGTATAAATAATCTAATATCTTAACTTTTTAGTAATAAAAGAATTATTATTTCTAAAAATATTTTTTAATCATACTATACAATTCACTCCCCTAAAAGAAAATAATCAATAAAACTTACTAGTATTATAATAAAAACATCACTCCATCATTAATAAAAATAAAATTACTTTCAAATAGTTAAATAAAATATGATAACTTTGAGATTTATGACAAAACCATGAAGACCAATGATAACTGAAAAAGTAAAATTTCGTTACGTATTTTTAAAGAAATGTTACGTAATGTATAATCACTTTCACAATGTTATCACATAGTAAAGATTTGATACTATAACTTGTTATTTGAGTTACTCTCAATCTTCTTATATCTATATATTAAAAAATTATGAAGTATCATTCATTTATTCAAGAATTATGAGGGTCAACAATGTTAACTAAAGATTTTAACACAAATTTTGTCTAAGATCTATTAGGCAGGCCCCGAGCGTTGGACGTTGGGCGTGCTTCAGGCGTACAGTCGGACGCTTAGGGCGTAAGTTTTATAGAACTAAGCCCCACACTTAAGTCTCGGGGAGTTTTGATAGAGTCCCGCCCCGAAGCTAGTCCCAATAGAATCTTTTAAAACACTGGACCGGAGGAATAGATGCATCCAGGAAGGCACTAATTGCATGGGACCAACTATGTAGCCCTAAAACTGCAGGGGGACTTGATTTATTGGATATCCAAACATGGAATAAAGCTGCAATAAACAAGTTACTATGTAATTTGAGCACTAAAAAAGATAGACTATGGGTGAAGTGGATTCACATTTATTATGGAAAACAAGACTTTGTGGGGTGTCCTAGCACCTCAAGCTTCATGGATGGTGAGGAAGATACTCCATATGCATAAAGAAATGGAGATTATTGGCTGGAATAAGGATTATGTCAAATAGATTGACAAATTCTCTATAAAAAAAAACCTCCATAAAACTCTTGGAGGATACTACCAGAAGGTGGAATGGAGGAGACTTGTAACAATGCAGCTTGTCCTAAGTGGATTTTCATCTTATACTTAGCATTACAAAGTAGGTTACTCACAAGGGATCGATTAGCAACATGGGTGTGTGTGGAAGATGTCTAATGTGTACTATGTGGAGCTGAAGATGAGAGCCATAATCATTTATTCTTTCGCTGTTTGTTCTCATCCCAGGTATGGTAGAAGATACTCTATTGGCAAAGTATCAATTAGGAGGTTCAAGGTTGGGAAGAGGAAACATTATGGATGATGATGATGATATGAAGAGCTTGACATCCAGGCTTAATACATCAATAACATGAATGATGATGAGATGAAGAGCTTAACATCTAGGCTTAACATATTGACAATCTTTCAAATTTGTAAAATAAAATAAAATTAGACTCTTGAATTATGACATGTTTCAATTGAACATCTGACCAAGCACCTGACAAAGTGCTCCTAATAACACTTTCGATTCAACTTTTGATTCTTTTGCGTGTATTCTTTAATATCAATTATGTAGATAAGTTAACCACTTAAAATATGTCACATTTTTTAATTATATAAATTGGTCTCAATCTCAATAAGCTATAATGAACATTTGAAATCATGTTAAAAAAAACTCCAAAATTTGAATTGAAGATATCTAGTGGAAACGAACTTTATCATATATTCAAATATTTAATTGAAATATCTGTCTAAATAAAATTTAGGAGGTGTGTGGATGAAATTTTTTTAAGTGATCACCTACTTTTGACTTTTAATTTTTTTCTTTTTTTTGTCACTCTTCTAGAAATTTAAAAATTGCTTAAAATTCAAAATATCTAAAACTAAGTTAATCCAGACATCCTTACTAGCAAGTTTGCAATGTATTAAGCCCTAAAATCTATTTTTTCTGAACTTGGACAGATTCATGAACAACTCCAACAAGCTGACTGCATACATTTCTGTAATTCATTCAAAGTAATCTAAATACCTAATATTTCTGTGTCTAATGACTACTGGCAATTATAAAAGCGTGCCATTTTGAGTGTTAGAAGTAATAATTGGCTCTCTACTCCTCTCTCTCATCAAAGCTTTTTACCAGTTTTAGAAATCAATGGCCGGAAAAAGTAAGATTCTGTTCATCGGCGGTACTGGTTACATCGGAAAGTTCATCGTCGAAGCTAGTGCTAAAGCTGGCCACGACACATTTGTCTTGGTTAGAGAATCCACTCTTTCCAATCCTATCAAAACCAAACTCATCGATACTTTCAAAAGTTTTGGCGTCACCTTCCTCCATGTATGTAACATTTTTTTTTTTCAATTTAGACATTGATTTAGGATTTAAAGTTAAAGAAGACATTTGGTCATGCTTTGATAAAGTAGTTTTTGTTTTCCAAGCGGAAAAATGATATTTGAAAATTGTAGTTGTATTTGAATTTTGTGAGTGATTTGGAGTAAAAAAAGTGAAAACAGATTGTATGTGTTTTTCAAATTTCTGAAAATTCCATCAAGTTGAATTTTCTGGAATTGTAATTATTTTTTATTTTTTTGATTTATTCTCACTTTGATTTGCTAGTTTTTTTCATTGTGCGATTTTGGGAGAATGATAAATTTGAGTTGGTAATAATTGGTGGTTAAATGCAGGGAGATTTATATGATCATGAGAGTTTGGTGAAGGCGATAAAACAAGTGGATGTTGTGATTTCTACAGTAGGTCATGCCCTTTTAGCTGATCAGGTCAAGCTAATTGCTGCTATCAAAGAAGCTGGCAATGTCAAGGTAAATTTATTGGTTTCAACTTTTGTTTATGTAAAATTGAGATAACAGGAGGTGAGATTGATTTTTCCCTGTATCTTTTGTGTTGTTTTAAATTATAGTGCTTGGAATTGCTTAATTTCGGGATCTGCTAGCCTTTGCTGTGAAAATTCTGATTCTTTTGAAGATTGCAGTAATTTAATTGAGGCAGAATGTGTTCTTTGTTTTCTTTTTCTCAATCTGTGTATATATGAGCAATATGACTAATTATGAGTTTTATTTACTGTTTGATAAATATTGTTGCGTTTTTTTTTTTCTCCAGATATATGGAATGTTCTATCTTCTGCAACTGATTCAGTATATATTGGTTTGAATTAGAAAAATAACTTCTTCTAAATGCCTCTCTTACTTTCAGAGATTCTTTCCCTCTGAATTTGGGAACGATGTAGATCGTGTCCATGCAGTTGAGCCTGCTAAAACAGCATTTAATACTAAAGCTCAAATTCGTCGCGTTGTTGAGGCTGAAGGAATACCATTCACTTATGTGACCACTTTCTTTTTTGCTGGTTATTCTCTTCCAAATTTGGCACAGCCTGGAGCTGCAGGTCCTCCCAACGACAAAGTTGTCATCTTAGGAGATGGCAATACTAAAGGTAAACACAGATTTGGTACAAGTTTTTCATATGAAAAAACACTTTCCAGTAAAGTACATATTTCCTTGAAAGCATCTATCATCTAGTAGTAACTGAAAGACACATTTTCCTACAGTCATTGAACTCCTTTTGTATCTACAGCTGTTTTTAACAAGGAAGAAGACATTGGTACCTATACCATAAAGGCTGTTGATGATCCAAAAACACTTAACAAAATCCTCTACATCAAACCTCCACACAGTATAATTACGTTAAACGAGCTGGTATCCTTGTGGGAGAAGAAAACTGGAAAGAACCTTGAAAGAATATATGTACCAGAGGAACAAGTTCTCAAGAACATACAAGGTAAAGGCGTTGTGTTCTTGATCTTCACTTTGATTAGACCATCTAAGTGATATTTTTATCAGTCAACATAAACTAAAGTGGTTTCAATGTAATTGTATTTCTTGCAGAAGCCTCGGTTCCATTGAGTGTGGGATTATCGATCTATCACACTGCTTTTGTGAAGGGTGACCACACTAATTTTGAAATTGACCCATCATTTGGAGTAGAGGCATCAGAGGTTTATCCTGATGTTAAATATACGCCGGTAGATGAGATTCTCAACCAGTATGTCTGAAAATATAGAGTTCCTTCATATTAAGCATAAGGTAAGGAGCTTCCTGCCTTTTCTATGATGTTACATTAGTTGTTTTCAGATGTAAACCATTTGAGATATATCTTCACTTTAAATTCTTGTTTACTCTTTGGTATTTCTACCTTTTCTATTATGTATTCCTTCATACTCAGTACATTCCAAGTATTGACTGCACACTTTTTTGCCTATATTGTTTTATAATATAGGTTCTGATGCTCAATACCCAGCTCACGATTAGTGCTATTAGTATCAGCTTTCACCACTGTTTGTGAGTCCTCATCTCCTCGAGGACACCACTTATGATTTCCGTTCAGTCATTACTTTTAGTTTTCAAACATGTTAGAGTTAGCTAGGGGTTTGTCCTAGCAACTCATGTTAGTAGGGACTTTCAGACAGTCGGTTAAGTTTCAGCCATGTTATGTTGTCTCTCAGATATTAGACTCTTTTGAGTATTATGGGCTTATTTCGATATTTCTCAGTTTTAGCTTCCGCATGTACATCTCAGTTTTGTGTTGATTTTGTTATTCTTAGTATCATGCTATGTCATGTGGTTAGCTAGGGGTCACTTGTGGCTCAAAGCATCGTGTCGCGTTTAGGAGTAGCCTCGGGGCATGACAATTATATTCTCAAAACATATGTAATTACTTGTGAGTTGGTCACTAATTGGAGATCATTTTACTGCAATTTCTTGGGTTAATAACTTTTTTGGCCATCTAAGTACAGCAAATTACCCCTTAAAGTTAGTTAGGTTTATTTTCCCAACAAAGTCAATCAAATGAGATGTATAACAAAATAACTAAAATGATAATCCTCCCCTTAAGTTTAGCTTTATAATATTAATAACTTTTCTTGTAATTTATGATATATGTGACACTCTATCATAAGCTTTAGCCATATCCAATTTTACCACCACATTATGAAAATTGTTTTTCTAATTAGTGTCTCTTATGATTTTTTGAGTCACTAGGACCTTCTCTGTGATGTTTCTTCCTTTGAAAATTTGACTAAACCAGTTTGATTCCTTAAGATGAGCCCAGACAGATAATTAACTAGTTCTCATATAGCATCCTAGAAATGATCTTGTTAGCAAAAGTGCTCAAGCTTTGGACCTTTGATGTTAAATACTACTTCCAAAACATACTATTTGGAGTAGAGGTGTTAGAGGTTTATCCTGATGTTAAATATACGTACCTCAGTACATGAGATACTCAATCAGTATTTGTGAAAATTTGTGATGTAAAACATTTGTGATGTTCCTATATTCTATTTTGGAAAAGTTTCTTTATTCTCAACTATTTTTTTCTAATTCTAGTGGTATATACTTTTTAAACAATGGTTGTAGATAACTTGCTTGCACCTCGACTATTTCATTGATTATATATTGCCTTCGACCAGTATAGATATTGAGTAACTCTATTAATCAAAGGTTTAAATGGATAAGCTTTTTTTCTCTCTATTGGTATTGACCCTAGTTTCACAACACGTGAATATACTATATATAGTGTTACAACCGGTGAGCGCTAGCTTCCCTTCCCTCTTCGTCACCTTATACCTCTCTCTATAGACTATTCTCCCCTTGTCCTCCTCATCACCTTATACCTCTCTCTATAGACTATTCTCCCCTTGTCCTCCTCATCTAAGCTTTTCACTAACGCCATATAAGTAACCTTCTTGGCTTCCTCTTTTATTTAGACCTCTTCATCCCACAATCAATCCCCTTTATGCCCATTTGTGCTATCCCTTGAGACCTCTAATACCTCTCTAGTTACTTCTCTATCACGTAAAAAGATAGTCCCGTATTTGAAATGAATGAATGGATGATGATGATACGAAGGGCTTAACATCTAGGTTAATACATTGATATGAAGAGCATAACATCTAGGCTTAACATATTAACAGTCTTAAAAGTTTGCCCAACCAATTTTATTTAGCTTAAATTATAACTTGTTTCAATTGAGCATCTAAACACATGATAAAGTATTTCTAATAATACTGTTGGTTTCAATTTTGATTTCTTTTTGCTTGTGTTATCAAATGTCCATTACGTACATAAGTTAATTAACCAGTTAAAATATGTCACATTCTTTAATTATATAAATTTGGATCAAAAGCCTAAAATGAAGCATTTGAAAGCTGAACTTTGACAGATTCATGAACTCCCTAACTAACTCACGACATACATTTCTGTAATTCATTCAAAGTAAGAGGGTATTTTCGTAATCTAACTCCATAATATTTCTCTGTCTAATGACTACTGGCATTTATCAAAGTTTTTTACCAATTTAGAATTCAATGGCCGGAAAAAGTAAGATTCTGTTCATCGGCGGTACTGGTTACATCGGAAAGTTCATCGTCGAAGCTAGTGCTAAAGCTGGTCACCATACATTTGTCTTTGTCAGAGAATCCACTCTTTCCGATCCTACCAAAACCAAACTCATCGATACTTTCAAGAGTTTTGGCGTCAGCGGGACCCGGTGGGTACAGCTAGTCGGGTTCGCAAAGCGATGCCCGGAAACCACGGTAAAAAAAAAAAAAAAGAGTTTTGGTGTCACCTTCCTTCATGTATGTATCATTTTTTTTTTCAATTCAGACATTGATTTAGGATTTATAGCTAAAGAGGCCTTTGGTCATGAAAAATCGAAAAAGTAGTTTTTGTTTTCAAAGTGAAAAAAATGATTCTATTTGAGTTGTATTTGAATTTTTTGAGTGATTTGGGGTAAAAAGTGAAAACAGCTCGTTTATGTTGAATTTTCCGGAATTGTAATTTTTTTTTATTTCCTCACTTTGATTTGTTAGTTTTTTTTCATTGTGTGACTGGTTTTGGGAGAATGATAATTGCGTTTGTAATAATTGGTGGTTAAATGTAGGGAGATTTATATGATCATGAGAGTTTGGTGAAGGCGATAAAGCAAGTGGATGTTGTGATTTCTACGGTAGGTCATGCCCTTTTAGCTGATCAGGTCAAGATTATTGCTGCTATCAAAGAAGCTGGTAATGTCAAGGTAAATCAATTTGTCACACTTTTATGTAAAGTTGAGATAACAAGAGGTGAGGTTGGCTTTTTCCTGTATCGTTTGTGTTGTTTTACTGCACTCATTGCCTTCTTCTCAAGCCAAGTCCACATACTTTAAATCGCGATTATTCTGATTATCTACTTTATGAGTAATATGACTAATTATGAGCTTTATTTACTGTTTGATAAATATTGTTGTGGGATACTTTTTCAGATACATGGAAAGTTCTATCCTCTGCTGCTCTGCAACTGATTCAGTAAATATTGGTTGAGTTAGCAAAATAACTTCTTCTTAATGCCTCTTGTTTACAGAGATTCTTTCCCTCTGAATTTGGAAATGATGTAGATTGTGTCCATGCTGTCGAGCCTGCTAAAACAACGTATAATACTAAAGCTCAATTTCGCCGCATTGTTGAGGCTGAAGGAATACCATTCACTTATGTGGTCAACTTCTTTTTTGCTGGTTATTTTCTTCCAAATTTGGCACAGTCTGGACCTGTAGGTCCTCCTAAAGATAAAGTTGTCATCTTAGGAGATGGCAATACTAAAGGTAAACTCAGATTTGCAACAAGTTTTTCATATGAAAAAACACGGTGCAATAAAGTAGATATTTCCTTGAAATCGTAAATGTTAAATTTCCCATTAATTGGATAATTTATTTGTTCAATGCGTGAAGCATCAGTCAATCATCTAGTAGTAGCTGAAAGACACATTTTCCTACAGTCATTGAACTCCTTTTGTATCTACAGCTGTTTTTAACAAGGAAGAAGACATTGGTACCTATACCATAAAGGCTGTCGATGATCCAAAAACACTTAACAAATTCCTTTACATCAAGCCTCCACACAATATAATTACATTAAATGAGTTGGTATCCTTGTGGGAGAAGAAAACTGGAAAGAATCTTGAAAGAATATATGTACCAGAGGAACTAGTTCTCAAGAACATACAAGGTATAAAGGCCTTGTGCTCTTGATCTTCACTTTAATTAGCTCATCTAAGTGATATTTTCTCAGTCAACATAAACTTAAGTCGTCTTGATGTAATTGTATTTCTTGCAGAAGCCTCGGTTCCATTGAATGTGCTATTATCGATTTGTCACGCTGCTTTTGTGAAGGGTGACCACACTAATTTTGAAATTGACTCATCATTTGGAGTAGAGGCATCAGAGGTTTATCCTGATGTTAAATATACACCGGTAGATGAGATTCTCAACCAGTATGTCTGAAAATTTAGAATTCCTTCCTACTAAGCATAAGGTAAAGGGGTTCCTTTCCTTTCTATGATGTTACATTAGTTGTTTTCAGATGTAAACCATTTGAGATATTTCTACACTTTAAATTCTCCGTTTACTCTTTGGTATTTCTTCCTTTTTCTATCATGAATTCCTTCATACTCAGTACATTCCAAGTATTGATCGCATATTTTTTAGCTGATACTGTTTTATAATATAGGTTCTGGCGCTCCATATCTAGCTCGCGGTTAGTGTTATTTGTATCAGCTTGCACCACTGTTGGTGAGTCCTCATCTCCTCAAGGACGCCACTAATGATTTCCTTTCAGTCATTACTTCCAGTTTTCAGACATGTTAGAGTTAGCTAGGGATTTGTCCTAGCAACTAATGCTAGCAGAGGCTTTCAGACAGTCGGTTTAGTTTCTGCCATGTTATGTTGTCTATAGACTCTTTGAGTATTATGGGCTTATTCCGATATTTCTCAGTTTTAGCTTCTGCATTTACATCTCATTTTTATGTTGATTTTGCTATTCTTGGTGTCATGCTATGCCATGAGGTTAGCTTGGGGTCACTTGTGGCTCTAAGCACCGTGTCACGTCTAGGGGTAGTCTCAGGGCGTGATAGTTCTATTCTCAAAACATTTGTAATTACTTATGTGTTGGTCACTTGGAGATCATTTTACTGTGAATTTTTGGGTTAATAGCTTTTGTGGCAATCTAAGTACAATCAAATAAGATGCATAACCAAATAACTAAAAGGATAATTGAAAAAATTAACTGCTTCTTGAAAAAATTAGCCCTTAAAGTTAGTGATTTTACTGTCTCTATGAACTGATACTTGAAAAAATTAACTGCTTCTT